TGGTGACATCTGTTAAACACACTTGTTTTTATTCCCACTGACTGCAGCAAGTTCAAGTGATATTTCATGGAAAAAAAGTGGTTGTGTTCCAAAGCAGAAACCAACAGCCTCCCTCCAGGACCCCATCACCATCCAGGTGAATTTCTGTACTAATTACCACATCCCAATACTCGAGCCAGATTAAAAAGAAGTTTCTCAACAGATTACTCCTCCCTGAGTGCAGAGGGTAATGAACCTGTGAGCTCTGCAGGAGAGATGGAAGAGGCTGGTGAAGCCCTGGCTGCTCTGGGGTGCCCAGTGCTGGCTGTGTGGGGAGTGAACACTCACTAAATAACTTCATGGTTCACAGCAGCTCAGCCCTGACTTAAACTGAAATGGGCAGTGGCAGGAGAGCTGTAAACTCACAGGTGCACCAGAGTCACCTGAGGGACACACTCAAGGCACAAGTGTGAGCAGCCAAGGAGAAAAGCTGTGTCCTTCTTTAGAAGATTCTCTGGATGAGCCAGTTGTGCCCTGTGAGTGAATACAGGGTTCCTTGCGGTGCAATGAAGTTTATGATACGTTTTGTAGGCACCATCCACTTGTTTTTATACACATTTGGCCTAAAGTTCTTACTGAACCTGCTGTCAGACCTGTGGGAGTGGTGGCACAGGAACTGAAGGAAACATTGGTTTACCAGGTTATGGCAGCACAACTCAATTCAGCCAGTGCTGCTCTTGAAAATAAGTGCAGGAAAGAGCATGGCTGTAGAAAAAACTCTACTTGCTGAATCACCCAACTGTTGTCAACAGGGTTTTTGAATCCCAGGCCCGGTTTTTGCACTGCAGACTGTACAGCAGAGGTGGGAAGTGGCTGGGAGTGTGGTGATGAGTATGAAGGGAAGCCCTTGGCACTGCCCAAGTGCTGAGTTTCTGTTCAGCCAGATGTTACCTGAGCCAATGACAAGCTGGGATCAGCCTGGCTGAGGCTGATTGAAGTGTTTGGTTACCCACTGGCTAAATAGCCCTAAACAGAGGAAATGAAATAATTGTTATTTAAAAAACCCCAAACCCACCTAGAGGATAAACTCTAACTCTTCCATTTTCTCCAAAGGCTTCTCTAGCAGTGTGTAATTCTTTCCAAGGACTCTACACCTTCCCACCAGCCTTGGTATGAGGTATGAGAACAATATAACCTATAAATCCTCTATCTTGAAGGTCTTCTCCCACCTAAACAATTCCATGATTCCATGCTTTTATAATCTATGAACTAGCTAGGATGAATTTAGGGACAAGTTTGATGCAAGCAGGGTATGGTTACTTAAACCTTGGTGTTTCAATCCACTGACAACTGAGTGTTTGATGCTTGGGAAGCGCAGAAGTGAATCTTTTCAATGTGTGTGACCTTTTCTATAAGGATTGCCTCAAATCCAACGTGAACATCTGCAGCCAAGTCCATTGGTCACACATGACACCATCTTATTACTGAGGAGCAGGAACAATGTAAGGAAACACACAGCTGAGAATATCTGTTTGTCCTAGAAGGAAGATCTCTAAAAATGTCCAGACTTCAGCCTAGATGAATGTCTGTGGATCTCAGAATCTTGGGACTGCCATCACAAAGGACTCTATAAAAAGGTTGGAAATGGAGAGGCTGCTGCAAGTCCCGTGGATAATTGCCTGGCTCCGTGTGCTGTGCGCAGGAAGGTCACTTCACACAGGCAGTGCAATTACCTCCTGGACAAATGGAAAATGAAATTGCAACCTTGTGTGTGATTGCCAAGAAGACAACCCAAAGTGCTGGCTATGAGCAAAACCTCTGCCCTCTTCGTGGCAGGAAAGCTGGCACTGTTCTCCCTGGAAACAATGGATTTGAAAACGTCCATCTTTTAAAATGTGCCCTTTCAAGGTGTTCAGTGAAAGATGATGAGCTGCTAAGTGTTTACAGTGGTTTCTGCAGCTCTCAGCCTAACAGAGAACTCTCATCACCTGAGACCTCCCAGGGTGCTAGTGGGAAGCTAAAATTCAGACTGAGTTTAAGCAGAACCCAAGCTGACAGCAGATACAGGGCTTAACTATGGGGGATGTGATCCATTGGAGAGGGGATTGAATGGTCCTGTGCTGTCAGTGATGGAGTAATCACTGAATAAGTGGTTTGGTTTTTTTCCTTTTTATTATTTAAATTAGGGGCAAGAAAAAAAAATCAGTTTACCAGCACTATGTTGCCCAGAATGTGTGGGTTTCAGAGGACACACAGGTGGAAGTCTTGTCCTGTTGAAGGTGGAGGCAAATGATTGATAGATCTTCTGAGTACCAACAAAAGAAAATTCACTGAGAGATTATGAATTACAAATTATAAAAAAAAACCTGGGTTGTAATCACTCAGCATACACAAAACTCCTTTAGTTTTAACCTTACTCTTAATTTTGGGGGAGTTAATGACTGATACAGGAAGCACCTTTAACTTGTACTTGGTGTCGTGTTTCTTTGTTTTGTTGGAAGCAAACATTTGGCTTAAGGAAAATTTGCACAGGTGTAAAGCTTTCCTTCTATGAATATTTAAACAAATGGGGGTCTGTCAATGAACTGCAGTTTAGTAATTTTTGTATCAGGCTTTGTTGGGTTGGAAAGCATTTCTTCTGTTAGGCTATAAAATAAAAGGATTTATCCTTAAAATAAATTAATCAAAAATCTCTTGTGAAAATGCTGAAGCTAAGTGGAAGATTTCCAGAAAAATCGAGCATTATTATGATTTTTTTAAAAGTGTGTGTAAAATAATCCAGTCTTCCAAAAAGATGCTTGAAGTTGTTTGGATAGAGTTGGCATCTGCCAGAGTCGAGTCACACATAAGATAACATGATTGACCATTTTTGGCATGGGATGGGCTAAATTGGCTCATCTGTTGGCTGTCAGTCTCTTCTGAATTAGATCCAACGCTTTGTAGGCACGTTTCCATCTGGTTAAGTTTAGGACTCAAGCTGTTTATATATTAAAAAAAAGTATTTTGTACCAATAACAATTTCTAGAAAAAGCGTTTTGCTTATGTTCCATTTTGAAATTATTTGGTTTTTCTTCCTGGTTAAAATAACCTCCTGAAGAGTGAAAGATGATGTGCCCATGTATTATGTTAAGACCCTTGAAACATGCAAATAAAATGGAAAGAAATTAAAAATTTTATATGTACATATTTAAATATATGTATATATGCATGCATATCATTCTGTAATATGTGACTCCTCTAAATTGGAAAACCAGATTTTAAGTCTGCTAATATTTTAACCATGTGCATTAGGAAAGGAGGATGAATACATGCTGTTACACTCACATTGAGTCTTTCTAAGATTGGCCTTGCATTATTTTTATTCTGAATATTCGCCATCTGGCACTGGGAGCTGCAGTATTTAGTGCCACAAATAATAATGAAAAATATGGTAATAGCTCGTGATACTTTAACGTAAAAATATAAGACAGAGGGTATAAAGCTCTGGGCGTATGATCTTACAGCTGCCAAAGCATGTTGTTCCCTCTGCCCTTGTTTTCCATAAATGAGTCTTTGATTGGAGACAGCAGCAGTAATGGGAAAGTCATTGGTTAATGCACATTAATGAAACTGCGTTACTGGAGTTAATGAACTACAGTCCTCAAGAAAAACGAGCAGGAAAAACGCCAGGGTTTGTGCCATTGTGTTCAGGTAGCTGTGGCTGCAGCCAAGAAACACCAGGGAAATGGTTTTTACTCCAGACTCACCTGAGAAAGAAAGTCTTTTTCACATGGGACATGCCCCATAGAAATGCCTGAACTTTAAACTGAAATTGCCTTTTCCTTTCCTCTCTCCCCCATCGAAATACAATGAGGAGACCGTTGCATATTCAGCAAAGCTGTTGTTCTTGCTGCAGTTAAACTGCATAATTAGGTGGTGTTTAAAGAGAGCTGAACCTCAGTGACTGTGCAGGCTAAGGCAGAGGTGAGACCAACTCCTGGAATTTACCCAGGTGAGCTGCAAACCAATTCGGGGAACTTACTGAGGTGTTAGTGCTTGAGGAAAACAGTTCCAGAATGTTTGGGTTCAAAGGCAGCAGGCATTTCCTGAACGTTCCTTTCAGAGAACAGAGGAATTGACCTTTATGATTTCTGTAAGACTGGATTTACTTTTGACCACTGGCCAAACAGCTCCGGAGATGGCAAGAATTCTGTGGCCGTGTTTTGAGCCTGCTCTGTTGGCATTAAAATCAACCCCTTTCACCAGCTCTGCTCTGTGGGTCCTCTGCTCACCACTGCAGCATCCTCTGCTCTTGAAACAAGAGTGAAAAGCACAAGGTGCCTCTGGGCACGAAGAGTTTCATGTTTGCTAAAGAAAGGAAATAATTTATAGAACACTACAAGTAACGGCTCCATCCACAATAAACAGGGCTTGGCTCTGCTGGCCTGTGCAGCTGCCCCAGAAGAGCCACAGAGCAAAGGGAAGGATGGAATTGCAAAACAGAATTTGAGTTTCCAGCTGTTACCAAAGAATCCTGGCCAGCTCTCCAGCTTGGCCAAAGCAGCAACTGGCTTTGAACCCTGGGATCCCAGAAACTGCCCTGCACCTGTGCAGTACATCCCTACCCAGGTCACGGATTTAGTGCCTGTGAAAAGATCAAACCTACAGTGAATCCACAGCAGTTTGTGACTCTGTCCTGTCCTGATCCTTTTGCCTTCTCCAGGTTTTATTCCAACCTGTGCTCTGGCTCACTGCAAATACACCAGGCCATGCTTGAGACTTCTTGGTTGTTGCTGGTTGCTTTTCTTCTTCCTTTTTTTTTTTTTTTTCTTTCTCCCCTGCTAATCCAGTCACCTCCCCTGAAGTGGCCGAGGTTGTTCTTCCTGCCAAGGGAACGAGGGCACACAGAGCCTTCTGTCCACAGAGCGCTCGCCTTGGCCCAGGCACAAATGGGAGCTTTTCTTTCCTCCTGCTCAGAAGGCACCAAGAATGAGG